TAAATAAGACAGAATTAAAATTTTATTTTGAAAAAATAATTTATTAATATTTATCTGAGATACAAATCTTTTTGCACCAACCCATATATTATATTTTTTATAGAAAGAGATTTTATTTCTTAATTTATCTTCTAACTTTAAAATATAATTTATTATTATAGTAAAATATATTGATAATAAGTAAATTAAGCAAGCTTATTATTAAAATTGATCTAGATAAGAAATTAAATCTAATAAGTAAATTATTTTTTTATTATTTCACTAATTATTATTCCAATTCTCAAAAATTATATAATGATATTAGAAATAAAAAATATAATTTTCTATATAAAAAAGTTTATAAATGATTATATAATCAGAATAAATAATAAAAATATGCTTCATTATCAAAAAATATTTTATAAGTTAGTTATGGTAAAATTTCACATCTGAATTATATACATATATATGATTTATTATATCTTACAAATAATATCATTAATAAAAAAATATATAAATAGGTATTTACTATTATAAATATTGTATTATATTTTAAATATGCTATTTCTCTTATATCAAAAAATAATTTAGATATTATCAAAGCCTTCAAAAAAATTTATAATAATTCATCAAATTTATTTATATGATTAATATTTTTATAATATAATCAAGAATATAAATTTATAGGTAAGATAAGTAAAATAATGAAAAAATATAATATAATAATTAGATTAATTAGTATATATAGTTATTGAAATCTAGTAATTATAAATAAATTCTGTAAGATACTTGCAAAAATACTTTATAAAATTTAATATAGTATTGAAAGTATATTCTTAGATCCTAAATTAATAAGCACATAGATTAAGTATTTATCAGAAATTATTAATTATCTAAATAATTATCTGATATATCTTATTAGAGCTCCTGGATCAAAGAAATAGGAATTAATATCTATAAAAGTAATTAAGTTAGAAAAGGTTGAATCTCAGTTATTTATAAAGTATAAGCATTCTATTAGAAAATATAAGGAGAATAGGTTAAAAAAAGATGATATAATTTGCTATCTGCTTGTTAATGCAGAATAAAAAGAAGATATAAAAAATTAAAAAAGAGCTACAGATCTGATATTTTTACTTTTTTTACATAAAATTCAAAAAATTATTATAATAAAAAATGAATTAGTTTTATATTATCTTGGAGATGATAATGATGAATATACTTCAAAATATGAATTTATGAGAGAAGAATTCTTATATGTGAATATTAATATAATTCAGTATCTATTATAGAGTATATTAAAAGAAAATACTTATTTCAGATTTGTTAATTTCATTCATATTATTAATAAAATAGCTAAAGCTATTACATATACTGATAAGTGTAATAGAAAATATCTTAGTAAAACTGATTAAATAAATAATTTCAATATATCTCTAGTTCTATGAAAATAGAAAATATCAGTAAAAATATCTATATCTATTAATAGCTATAAAATTTGAATAGTATTTCTTATATTATTATATTATTAAGAATCTATTAAGTAAGAAATTTTTACCATGCAAGACTAAGTTCTTAGATGAGATATAATTAGATAAGTATAATAAAAAACTAAAATTAGTATTTAAATTTCAGAATATCTAACATTTTAATATTATTTCAAAATACTTTCACCCTAATAGCAAGGCTGATCTAGATTTATAAAGATCATGTAACTAAAAAAAGTAAAATATATGTAAAGAGCAAGATATAAATCTTATTAAAATACAATATGATATAAATTTATATAAATTTATTCAAAATATTTTAATTAAGAAAGATTATTTACAGAATAAAATATAAATTTGTAAAATAAGTACTAATAACATATATTAAAATTCACTCTCTAAACTTATCTGAAATATTAACTGAAATCTTCATTTAGCCAAAGACAAAATATTATACTCAATTTTATTTATTAATTAATTATAATATAAGTATTCTATATCTATATTATAAAAAGAGATTGAATTTTATAATAGTAGAAAAAAATTATTTATTTATTAGAATAAATTTGAATATGTAATTCACATACAAAACTCTTTTTATACTTTAAAATTAATTGATTTTTGTATTTTTAATTGCAAGATATCTAATAGAATCTTATATTAAATTTAAAATCAGTATTCAAATTTGTAATATTAATAATAGTCTATTATTATGGATTTTCTAGTAAGACTTTAGAAAAAATTATAATTATAATTTGATCCATCTTAGATTATATAAAAATATAAAAAAATATTAACATATCAATGATGAAACTATTAATAAAATTATAGTAACATATTTAAATTTAGTACATTTTTATATAAGTTATTATAAAAAACTTATAAATATATTATTAATTGAAATTACAAGAAAATATTAAAGAATAAAGTATATTAATATAGGTGAATATAAAATTTCTAATAAATCATTAAAAAAAATTATTAATTCTTATTCAAAACTTCAATATCTTCATCTATCTAATTGTAATTATATTTCCAATAGTAAAATAATAGAAATTACAAGTTTATATTTTAATTTATTTAGTTTTTTTTTGAAGATGAAGATCCTAAAAATAGTAAAATTACAAACTTATCTATAAAAAGAATTGCTGAATTATATCTCAAACTTTAATATTTTAATGTATATCAGAATGGAAGAATATAACTGATGAATCTATTTATATATTACTATAATTATATTCCAATTTATAAGAACTTATTCTTGAAAAGTGTAATATTACCAATGCAACTATTAATACTATTAATTTATATCACAATCTTTAAAAATTCAATATTGTATATTGTGATCAGATTTCAAGAAATGCAATTTCAAGCATAAAAAGTTTTAATCCTGAAATTAAACTTCAAAGTACTAAATTACTAATTATTTGTGATTAAATGCAAATTATATAGAGTAAAATATATATGCAATTTATTTTTCAATATAATAATTAACTTAATCAGAATAAAAGTAAAAGACATGCCCATATTTGTTGATCAAGTGAACAAAATATCAAACAAATTCTCAGAATAAATGAAAGATAACAAATTTAGTCTAGAGAGTCCATTCAGATTACTGGTATGTAGAGGATTCAATAGCAGAAAAATCAATATGATAGTTAATCTTATGTTAGGTAATAAATTACAACAAATATTTAAAGGTAAGAAAGGAAATCACTGTATCAAAAACAATGATCTCATATTAATAGATAAACACTTTGAGCCGAAATGGCAACTTGTACAAAATAGCTTTCAGATCTTTGCGAATGCATCTAAATCATATCAAGAAGATATCACATTTAAAAGGATATTTCCAGATAAAATTCCAGATATAACTAAATTCTTTCCAGAGCTAAGTACAGTATTTGAGAATCTATGTACCAAATCAAAAAAGATGCAAGAATGAATTATTCCTTATTTCATTAGTGGTCAGTATCAAAATATCTCACCAATATATGTATCACAGAAATATACACAAACACCTAAAATTATCCGCGAAAATCTGAGTTATCTTGCACTATTTTGAGGGATAGGAAGCAGAGACGACATTTATAGAATCGTGCGATAATATACGGATAATCCGATAAACATTTGCGAAATCGAGAATTGATTTTACTAAGGCAATAGACGATCCTCTAGCGGTTAGACTCGGTTGGAACACCCCCTGAAATTAGATGAATAGGAACAACCAGCTTATTAATTAAGTTAGGAACCAATAATTTTTATCAAACAGCAAGCATGGGATCTATTTAATTGAGATGTGGTATTATAACGATCTACATATCGGAAAACTCAAAGAGTTGGAAATTATATAAGCAAAAAGTTAATGACAGGTATTCAAAAATGTAGTGAGTTTGATCTCATCTCCAATATCTAAAAACTTTAACGAATTCCCTGGTTCATGAACATATGCTAATTTGTCCGTAACATCATTACCAAGGGCATATTCAACTTGATTACCAGGATCATTTTCCCAGAGTAAAATTTTGGCTTGAACCTACTTGCTCCAATTATGATCATCCCCAATAGATACCTCAAACATCCTAGACGCACAAACTTGTTCCGCGGGTGCTCCATAACCCCCAGCTCTTCTTAGGTTTGTACTCCATTCCTGCCTCCCAAGTATCCTTTTAACATGAAATGGCAAGATGGATTCCGGAGCCCCTGTATCGACCACGCATGTATATTTTTTGTTGTTATTCATGGTATCATAAAAATCATATGAAAAAATAGCGATCAAATTAATTTCATTGGGTCTTCTGATGCGAATCCTGATCTTTATTTAGAGATCAAATTAATTTGAAAAATTATACAAATTCCAAAAACTAAATCTTATAAAAGATAACGCTTCTCATTAAGCACGCATTCAAACCTTGTAATCATCTCCACTATTAGCGCGCTGAGAAATCATCATCTTCGCCGGCTTACTACGTAGTGGCAGATGTGTCTGATCAACCGGGTGTTGGATGGCACCAGGCATAGTTTCGAGAACGTAGTCCAATTGATCATCGCTATACTCCTTTCCATACTCTACTACCTTCTGGTTGTGTACCGTCACCCACTCGTTTTCATGTCCCGTAAATTCACCTCTATCGAGTGCGTTGTAGAAAAATATGAAGTTAAACCCGACTTCGTCATCAAATTCGAACTCAATGTCAGCAATTATTCTGAAGGAATGTCTTCTGAGATATTCTGGCATGGAGGAGGGCCATCTGAAATTCTTTCCCATGCGAGCTATGATAGGTTAAATAAAACAAACATCAAAACTTTACTACATGTATTGCCACTATGCTTTCATGTATATAAAGAAAATTTTGAACTGTACCGAGAAACCTTTGTGCCTGACCAGGCTTGTGCTCATATTTGAGGAGACTTTGAAGCGTTTCGGGTGGATTTTGTTCCTTCTTTATTTTAAATAAAATGAAAAGTCTAACGAGGCATTACTTAATATTAGTATATATATGGTTTTCACAAAAATATGTGTTCATTCCATTCATTAAAGAATATACCCAGCGAACAGAATCAATATAGAAGTCGCGCCAATTATGCCAATTGTGCCAATTATGAAAAGGAATGCAACGAATGTATATAGAAATATAAGAAGAAAAAAGAAAATACAACACATTATTTTTTAAGTGAGAGAGAGCAGTTATTATTTAAATCAAACTCGTGACATCTTGTGTAGCCTTATTACACTTACGCTGGTAAATTCCATTAATGACAGCTATACTGGATTACATTTGTTTATTTAATGGCAGTGGTACATATGATGAGCTAGTTAATATTGCTAGGCGATATACGAAAAATTGGCGTAATGTTAATGATATACCTGACAAAAATTTGCAAGGACGAGAATTTATTGTAATTGATTTAACAAGAGCAAAAGAAGATCCTTTATATCTTCGCAAGGGATGGGATCAACCACTTAATCTTTCTAAAGAGTAGATGATCTTCCGACGAGTATTAACTACGATTTTCACTTTGTTACGTTTCATAAGAAATAGTACGATTTTTTTATTCATACATTCATTGTTTTATTACGTATGGCAAAATATATCAATATCTGGTTTTCCACGACACGCGTGTCGTGAGGGCGCAGTGATGTGGCGCAGTAATTCACATCGTCGTCTTCAAACATTTTACAATTACGAAATCAATATCATCTCGACTTAAGGCTGAAATGGAATGTACAGAAAACGATCTAATTAACAATATTTTTTGCCTTGCTAACTTCTCATCCCCTTTAACAATAGCAGTAAAAAGTCTGGATTTTTCGGGTCCTTTCCATTCTTTTCCGTAAGCCACCATCTGTCACTTCCGCAGGAATTTGTTTCCTAACTTCATCAAAAAGTAGAGCATTCGACCCTTCTTTGCCATTATCCTTTTTTAAATCCTTATATCGTTTATATAAAACCTCTCCAAAGTCGAAATAACTACTAATAACTTCTCTGTTAGAAACTAGATATTTAGATTCGGATTATCGATCTTTCTAAAAAAATATAAAAAATCATTAGCATTTCCTTTAGCAGTCATAGCGTGACTAGAGGCGCTCTCTTCTATAGCTTCGTTAGTTTGTGAAGAATCGCTGGATAATAATTCATCAATAAGTTTCTTCAGTTTCGCCGATTCTGCTTCTTAATCTTTTTATCAGAGGAACTCGCCGTAGGGATAGTTCGTTAACACGCTTTTGCGGTAGGGTGGGTGGGATTTCAACTCCTTCATTTCCATCCATTTCCACGTCTTGATCCTGGGATGAAGTTTTTTGAGAACTAAATCCAACATTACGAGTAAATTCATCAGCCAGATTCGAAATACCACTTATTTCAGAAGATACAGAGTCTCGTCGTTGGGCTTCATCAATAAGCTCGACATTTTTTCCACACTTGGGGAAGGGACATGTATTTGGTATGGTAAGCAGAATTTTTTTCTCAATACACATTCTGTGAAATATGTGCCCACAACCACCGAGAACAGTAAACGATTCATATGTAAGTGTTAAAATTTTCTTGTTACATATTGAGCATGGTGGCAGTTCCGTATCATTGATATTTTGATCAATACTTCCACCCGTTTCCTTTAGAATGTTATATGCAAGGGTTTTAAGACTGGAGAGAGACATAATGATTAAGAATGTAATCGAGTAACGAGATTCCTACCTGTTTTTATATCCACTTTGGTCAATATCTTAGACCCTATCCATTAACGGAATCGATATTCCTGGACGATGGTCTTGAATGGATCTTGGTGATGATCTCAAATGAAAAAATGTTTATTATCGCACACAAAATTAATTATCGGAAAAAAGACCATTTAGGTCTAACTGTTTTATTGATACAGTACAAAATACATGAGGGCGGTTAAACTATCTACCAACTATTTTTTGATAATTCTTTCTTGTACACGTTGCCTCTTAGATTCAGGCTCGTCACATGCTGAAACCCTATCTTTCAATAATCCTACAACTATACTAATTACCTGCTTTATATCTTCCTTTAAATTTTCCTGATTCCCAAGTGCCTTTTTCGTAAGATTTATTTGATATTCATTTTTGCTAGTACAAAAAATACCTTCGGAAGTAAACATAATAAAATGCCAATCTGCACCTAAAAATAAATCCGATAATTAACATAAAAAAATCCGGCATGTATCTGCATACAATAGAAAAAATTTCACATACCTGTTGACACAATTCCATATAGATAGTCGTAATCCTCGGCCTTAAAAGCTTCATCCGCAGTTCGTTTCTTCTTGTTCATGTGGAAGGAACTCTCGAGTTGTTTTATATTTTGGAGATAACCAATCTTAACATTTCGTGGCTTACCCTCAGTGATGCACAAAAGATCCTCCATCCCTGTTATGGCGTAATCAACTCTACCAGACGCTTCTTCACCCGAAGTATCCCTCTGCAATTCTATATTGATTTCTTTATCCGTTAACCTCCGTGTGATAGCGATTGATGCGTGTAATATAGATGAAATAAATTCACATCGGGTCGCCTCGTACATTCGTTAACCGCAGTATTATTTCATTCATATATTGTTCGAGGGCTTTATCGTTATCATCTATTTTCTCGGAAACTATACAATAGAAAAAACATTAGCATATGATCTATATAATTCTTCATACCGATCACTTTTGCCAAGAAATTTCAGCGAACAAATCGCCAAAAAAGTTCGCCCAAATTATGCCAAGAAAAAAGGTAACACATACCCGGATTAAATTGTTTGATGCATATAATATCCTCGCCGTTTACTTTGTATTTACGAAGAACATCTTTTAATTCGTCCAGTGTTTTATATGACGAGAAGCTTCGCAATTTTTGTTCTAATGACTCTTCGATGAATTTCGCAAATCTTTTAGCGGGACCAGCTTTCAAACCATAGTTGCGGAATTCTTCTTTCGTTGTCTCAAAAAAGTCGAAACCAGATATTTTTTCTTTACGTAAAATTGATAAATCGTCATCATCCAAGCTCTGCCTCTGCAAATAGTTAATAAGCTCTTCCGTTTTATATTTCTTGATAACGTCCGCCATCGTGCGAGTTGACCTTTCTTCCATTAAAGTAGAGGATGTAGAAACCGGTGATGAAGGTGAAGAAGCGTGTGAAGACATGGTATCTTTTATATGATATATGGCGTAATGAATCTGGTTTATGAACTGCGTTGCAAGAAGCTAGATAATGCAAGGGAAGAGAATGAAAAAATTTTTTTAGTGGATCAGTGGTTTTTTATAAGCAATAGTAACAAAGTGAAACAGAAAAAAAATGACAGATCTTGTGACTTCCGATCACATTCTGTCTTTCTGGAGTTCCTGAGAATGTCATGCATTTATTATTTATTTACAATGTAATTCGAGAATAATAAACTTAATGCTTTGTTTTTTTATTTACAATGTAATTCAAGAATAATTTGAATTTTAAGAATAAACTTGCATTTTGTTTTTTTATTTATAATGTAACTCAAGAATAATTTAAATATTAAGAATATTCAAATAAAATAAGACTTATCATTATTAAATTCTCACTTTATCTTATTGATAGTTAAAGCTCACTTATTCTTTCCTATTCAACTATCTTCTTGATTACTTGTTTAATTACTTATAAAATTACCCACTCAATTACTATTAACTTGTTCACTCTCACTTTCTTGCTTATCCATTTGCTTACTCTTGCTTATTTTTTCAGACTTGAGCTAATTATAATTATTATTATCCAGAAAAAATAGTTAGACTTTGATTTCAGATTGATCAAAGTGCTTAAAAGAAATTTCAAAAGCAGAAAAATTACTTACCAATATAAAATATGAAGATAATCTAATAGTGAAGAAAGCTTGAATTATCTGATAAAGATGGAAATATATATCTGATCAGAAAAGTTCTTATCATATTGGTAATTATTCATTATCATCAGGAAATCCAAATAATAAATCAAGAACTGAAGTTGAAGAGACTTGTCAATAAAAAGGTATAGAACTATTAAGTAATAGTATCAATCAGATTATTAATCACAATTATCATCATTTTAATATCTTTAATGGTTAAAGACTTACTTGTTGAAAGAGAAAATATCAGTTTAATGAAAAATAAAAAAAAAATAAATTCCAAAGATGAAAAATTACTCACCAATACAAAATATGAAGTTAATCTAATGGTGAAGAAAGCTTGAATTACCTGGTAAAGATGGAAATATGCATCCTGATTAGAAAAGTTCTCATCATACTAATGATTTCTTGCCATTACCAGAAAATTCAAATGATAAAACAAGAATCAAAATTAAAAAAACTTGTCAATGAAAAGATAGAATCACCAAATATTTTTTATTAAGTAATAGCATCAGTCAGATTATTAATCATAATTCCAATATCTTTGAAGATTAAAAACTAGCTTATTAAAAGAGAAAAATATCAGTTTAATAAGAAATGAAAAATAAATTCCAAAGACAAAAAATTACTTACCAATATAAAATATAAAAATAATCTAATAATGAAGAAAACTTGAATTACCTGATGGTAATAGAAATATACATCCAGTTAGAAAAGTTCTCATCATACTGATAATTATTTATTATTATCAGGAAATCTAAATAATAAATCAAGAACTGAAGTTGAAGAAACTTGTCAATGAAAAGATATAGAATTACCAAGTAATAACATCCATTAGATTATCAATCATGATTCTGATGCCTTTGATGATTAAAAACTAGCTTACTGAAAGAGAAAAATATCAGTTTAATAAGGAATAAAAAAAAATTAAATTTCAAAGGTGAAAAATTACTTATCAGTACAAATATAAAGATAATCCAATAATGAAGAAAGCTTGGATTACCTAGTAATAATGAAAATATATATCCAGTCAGAAAAGTTCTCATCATATCAGTATAATTATTTATTACTATCAGAAAATCCAAATAATAAACCAAGAACTGAAGTTGAAGGAATTTGTCAATGAAAAGATATAAAATCATCAAGTAATAGTATTGATCAGATTATCAATCATGATTATTATCATTCTGATGTCTTTAATGATTAAAGACTTACTTATTGAAAAAGAAAATATCAATTTAATGAGGAATGAAAAAAAAAATAAATTTCAAAGGCAAAAAATTACTCACCAATACAAAACATGAAGTTAATTTAATAATGAAGAAAGCTTGAATTACCTGGTGAAGATGAAAATACATATTCTGATCAGAAAAGTTCTTATCATACTAGTATAATTATTTACTACTATTAGGAAATTCAAATGATAAATCAAGAATTGAAGTTAAAGAAACTTGTCAATAAAAAGATATAGAATCATCAAGTAATAGTATCAATCAGATTATTAATCATAATTATCATTATTCTGATATCTTTAATAGTTAAAGACTTATTTGTTAAAAGAGAAAATATTAGTTTAATAAGAAATAAAAAAAATAAATTCCAAAGGTAAAAAATTACTTATCAGTACAAACATAAAGATAATCTAATAATAAAGAAAGCTTGAATTATCTAATGAAAGTTTTTTGATTAATAAATTAATTTTCTGATTTGAATAAAAAATATCTTTGTTCTATTTAAATCAAACAGCTTTTATCCTTCCAAAAAAGAATATTTGTATTTATATTATATATATATTATGACACTTTCTGAATCAATTATTTAAATTTACATAAATGAATGAGTTATAAACAGAATATAGCATATCTTCTTCTAAATCTGTATATTTCATTTACTATTATTCTAATATTGAATTTGAATCACCTCTAAAATCAATGGAATTCACAATTCTCTTTACAATTATCATCAAAGAACTTCATCATAATTAGTAATTGAGAAACTCAAAAAAGATAACTATGAAAAAAGATAACTATAAAAAAAGATGATTAGTCAGAAAAGTTCTCATCATACTAGTATAATTATTCACCATTACTAAAAAATTCAAATGATAAATCAAGAACTAAAGTTGAAGAAACTTGTTAATGAAAAGATATAGAACTATTAAGTAATAACATCAATTAGATTATTAATCATGATTATCATCATTTCAATATCTTTAATAGTTAAAGACTTGCTTGCTGAAAGAGAAAATATTAGTTTAATGAGGAATAAAAAAAATAAATTTCAAAGGTGAAAAATTACTTACCAATACAAAATATAAAGTTAATCTAATGGTGAAGGAAGCTTGGATTATCTAATAAAGATAAAAATATGTATTCTGATCAGAAAAGTTCTCATCATATCAGTAATTTTTTACCATCACCAGAAAATCCAAATAATAAATCAAGAACTAAAGTTGAAGAAACTTATCAAAAAAAATATATGAAATAGTATCAAACAAATCTTAATTTTACATTAAGAAATTAGTATTGATCAGATAATCAACTATGATTATCATCATTCTGATACCTTTGATCATTAAGACTTGTTAGAAAAGAAGATAATTGGATATTATTTCCATTAAGATCTTTATTGATTGATCAAAACACTTTAATGTAAAATATAAAACAAGACTTTTAATTAGAAAAAGTAATAATTGTGATTAGAAATAAATTAATAAAACATATTAATTATATCAAATATTTACCTATTCGTAAATTTATTTTTTCTGTAACTTCTTTGTTAAATAATACTTGTAGTATAGAT